GGGGGGGGGGGAGGGGGAGAGGAAGTCTTTTCCTTTTAGGAAAATGTGAAACAAAGCAATGATTTTTTTCAAAGCAATTTTTCCTGTGCACCTTGTCCATGAGATAATTAGGAAAGGACAAAACACTTTTATTTTCTTGCGATCAATCGCGTCGAGAGACTTTTCCCCTCTTCCACCGCGCATCCGCGAATACACTCGATGCATGCCTCTGAATAACTGCCTCGAACGACGTCGCCGCGATCGGCATCGCACACTCGCCGGCATCAACGAACCCCTTCGATACGATTCTATTTCTGGCGAGTTCGAACCTCCCGGGAAACCCCTCGAAAGCCGGTCCCCACCTCGCGCGAACCGAGAACATCCCGACTGCATTCCGTCCCCACCACGAGCTCGCTTCAGCCTCCCTTTCCTCCATCCCTTTCCTCCATCCCTTTCCTCCATCCCTTTCCTCCATCCCTTTCCTCCATCCCTTTCCTCCATCCCTTTCCTCCATCCCTTTTCTCCATCCTTTTCCTCCATCCAGTCTAGTCTCGGCGGTGATGAAAGACGGAGTCTCCACCGGCGGCCGCTAACGATCTAGGAAGTTCATTATCCCTCGTCGCAATCCTGAAAGTCGGGAGAAAGTCGACCTGTACGCAAGAGCGAAGTAATAAATACCGCGTTGGCGCGATCATAGATCCGCAGGAGAAAAAAATCTCGGTTCTCCCTGGTCGTCGACGAAAATCCCGGGAGAAGATATCAGAGCTTCATAAGAGTGTAAGCAGACGACGCAGCATCTCGATCTATTTTTTTTTTTCAGTGCAATCGAACGCACGGAACGGAGTTCCTATTCCCACGTGCGCTTGCGTCCATCGCGCGTGACGTGCGTTCGCAGTTCCAGCGAGGCAGTCCACGCGTGTAATCGACTCGTACGATCCAGCTCGTGCATGAAAACGCTTCGCGTCGACGAGCCCGAAGGCAAGGAATCGTCTCTGGAAGGTTCCAGCAACGTCTCACGTGCTCTAACAGGCGGAAAGATCGATCATCGACGATCGATCATTATTCCCTTTTTTTTTATAATGGAAATGGAATTTCGAAAAAACGTTTGCTATCGCTCAAGGTGCTGTTGCCGGAATCATCGTTGGACTCTCGTGAGAATTTTAGCAGAATTTAACGGATATATTTTAAACTGAAGTCGGCCCAAATAGTTAATATTTTGTCGATCCCAAACGCAGGTCGTGTCACTCGGACCGACAGAAGAAGAGGAGCCTATAGAAGGATCGCGAGAAGATTCCAGGAACCGCCGTCGAAGAACCGCGGTCCCCATGTTTACGACTCTCGAATGGCGGAACTCGAAGCAAAAATAGACGTCGGAGCCCTGCCAAAATCGCGGTTCCCTCCCACCGCACTCCCCCCTTTCCCTCATTTCCATCCCAGCTGCGGCGAGCCCAGGCGCGGCGATGTGGCGTGACGCGAGAGCGACGTGCACGGTGGAGGAACTCACGAAGATCATCAAGGCGCCGTCGAACGGGAGTTACGCGTTGCCCTCGGAGCCGTGCAATCAAGTCTATCCGGGTCTTTTCATCGGCGACTCGTGAGCGTTTTCGTCTGCATCGCGAGTCTCTCTCTTTTTTATTTCACCATCGATCGTTTCTTCTTCGCGGTGTCGCCACGGGTGTCGGTCCGTGTGTCGCCACCTGCGAGTTCCTTCTGGGCTCGGTCTCGATGTCGTCGACTCGCTCTCTTCTCCATCTTCCACTTTCACCTTTTTTCCGTCTAGTTCGCTTTTCCTTCGAAGCCTCACGATCTAAACCGATCTAAACCGATCTAAACCGTGCATTCGGGCTAGGCCGACGGCGCTGTGCACGAGCGGATTGCGTGAGATGGGCATCACGCACGTGCTAAACGCAGCGCAGGGGAGAAGAACGACGGACGGATACGACGGCTACGTGAACACCAACGCATTTTACTACAGTCACGCCGGCATCGCCTTCCTCGGCGTTCCGGCGCCGGATTTCGTCTCCTTCCGGTTGACGCCTTTTTTCCGGGATGCTGCCGACTTCATCGACCGAGCCCTCGAGGAACAAGGTGAAAGGTTCTCTCTCGACCTTTCTCTCGACCTTTCTCTCGTCGAGGCATGCCGACCGTGGATTTCTCACTCCCAGTAGGAAATTTGGAACTCATTCGTTGGGAATCTCGCTCTCACGCTCACTAATTCTGCAGGAAGGCATTAACAAACACTAATCGATCCAATCGATATATTATATATGATATATATATATATATCATATATAGTCCAATAACCGATCGATCGTCGGCTCGGGGAAGCGTTGATGGAATCGATGAAATCCTTGAAACATTCTGCAAATGCGCAACTAAAGATTTATCGTGCATCATTTTTATGCCCTCTTTTATACATATTCAATTAATCCTAATTTGAATACTCCGAGTTCCTGGTTGCCGAAGCATCCCACTCATCATATTCGTATTTAAAAAAATCGCATCGTCTCAAAAACCCGAGAGGGGAAATGTTCGCTTTAAATTCGTAACGATGAGGCTGCTGTGGGCTCCGACGTGCAGTTGGACGGCGAAATCCAAGGAGACGCTGGAGAGGCTGGAGATGACTCACGTGGTAAATGCGGCGCAGGGAAGAGACGAGGAGATGCTGTACGTGGACACGGATCAGGCCTTCTACGAGGGGATGGGGATTCCGATTCTGTTTGTGGGAGTGGAGGCGGTGGATGCGACGGCCTGCCAGATTCGGCGTTTCTTCGACCCCGTCGCCGGTTTCATCGACGATGCCCTGAGTCGCAACGGTAGACGATTTCTTATCCTCCGGCACCATGGGATTTAACATTTTTTAACCTCCCGATTGACCCTTGACTGTTTTGGACAAATTTGACTCATCCCTAATATTGCATGTGGATTGGTCTGGCACCCCTTCGAGTCCTTCAAATGTCCACGAGATTTAATTAACAATCGCGCACTAACGAGTGTTATTAGGTGCTATGTTCCGCGTAATAAATTTACGTGCAGCCAAAAAAAAAAGAAAACTTCATGTTTAATTGTCCCTGTGAACAGGAAGAGTGTTGGTGCACTGCCGAGAGGGCATCAGCCGATCGGCCACGTTGGTCCTCGCTTTCCTCATGATCAAACGGAACTACACCGTCCAAGAGGCCGTCCGGCTCGTCAGGTTGCATTTTGCCCCTTAGAACTTGCCATCCGAGACACGGCCGATGCCGGTAGCATTTTCCTCCTTTCTCCCGGTCAGGTCGAAGCGAGAGATCATCCCCAACGAGGGCTTCCTCCAGCAGCTCTGCGACCTGAACGACGCGTTGGAGAAGGAGAGACGGGTGAACGGCCGCCTCTGTTGACGGTTCTCGTCTTGCATGGACTTCTCCGAATGAACCCTGAAGTCTCCGTCGGAAGGCGTCACACGAAGTATCAAAATGTCGAACGTGTCTCTTTGTATGTCATAATCTCAGAAAGTAATCAGTGCGTATTTATTTATTCATTTTCCATAAAATCGTTCTTGAAACGAATCGTGGATAAGTTCTTCAGAGCATCTGTAACGTTCGAAGTGGATCGTGGGAGCACACGAATGGATTTAATGCAGCCGAGAAGCCCACGGCTTCAGAACTGGCAACAGTAGTAGCTCCTGAGGCCTTCGATTCTGATTCCACTGCAGAGGATCCTAATTTCCCCAATAACGGAGATGGATTCTATGGACGAAGACCTGAAAATTTGGTGGAACTCGATCCCTTTGCATCCTCAAGCCTTTCACGACTTTTGCCTTGGGAGAAGCCGGTTGGTTTTGCGGGTTCCTCATCCTGCCCGAATGCCTTCGGCTGGGACGAGTCAGTGGCCATTTCGTTTTCGAAGTAACAGAACGGGTTTATGAATGAGGCCTCGAGAGCGAAAAGACATCGTCGGAGAACGGCGCCCTTCACTCGAAACGGCCACGAGGAAAGATCGATGGGGAAGAGAAGGCTCAAACCGGAAATGTTCATTCCTTTCTTATCTCTTCAATCATTGTCACTTGCTGGACTACTGCATGTCATCGTCAGGATTTATTTCTTGCCTTCCGACACCAGGTAAAGAAAAATCAAGAGCCAAAAAAAAGTATAAAAAAATACTGTCATAGATGACCAGATAAAGTGCGACAAAAAAAGGAAGATCACCCATCACCCGGGAAAATTCATTCGAGAAAAATTAGAAAAGCATCGTCAGCGTGGCAAACGGCTGCATCAGAAAGATATCGGATTGAAAGGAAGACCGACTTTCGCCCAAACTTGGACGAAATCCTTGACGAATGTCTCCATCATTTCGGGGGTGTGATGAGGAGTGGGGGCGATCCGGAGTTTCTCCTTCCCTCGGGGAACCGTGGGGTAATTTATGGCTTGAATGTAATGGCCACAGGAACGAAGTAGTTCGTCCGACACCTCGCTGCATTTCTTCGGATCTCCAACCTATATTCAAATTTCAATAAATCTTTTTTTTTCCACGCGTGTATTTATTTTTAGACCTCACATTCTATTTTAAAATGTTGACATATTTTTTTGTGTACCTGTCCCTTTCACATTACTCTTCATTTTCCTTCTTCATGCCATGTCAAACCACCCTGCATTATGTCTCCACGGTACACACCTTGTAAAGTGTGATGGCCCCTTTTGAGTCATGCCGTTCTTTAAATGTGAAGCATGGCTTTCATGATTTACTTCTCAGTTTTACTTGCTTCTTTCTCTCGCATTCGACACCATCCCTACCCGCTCATTCTGAAGCACAAGGAAAGAGAGAAAAGGAAGAAGAAACTGACAGAGACAGGAATGATGTGAGATGGGGTGAGTTCCACGGGGATTCCACTCTGGATCAGTTTCAGCCTCAGACGCTTGACGATCGATTGATGCTTGACCCTGAGGCTCCTTCCCTCGTCGCTTCGAAGGATCCTGACAGCGGCCAAGGCCCCGGACAGGACCGTTGGGGGTAAGGACGTCGTGAAGATGAATCCCGCCGCGTAACTCCGGATCATGTCCACGAGGTTCGACGAACCGACGATGTACCCTCCCATGTTCCCAAATGCCTTTCCTGTTGATAAGTAACAAGGAAGCGATGAAAATATAATCATTCCATAAAGAAGTAAACATGAATATGAAAATAAACGAGCGGCAGGAAAAATAGCGATTGGAAACAGAATAGTCCGAATTACGTCAAAGCTAAATCTAAGAAAGAATAAATGAGACAATCGACCGAAATGTGGATCCAAACAGCATTGAAATGGAGCGTTCCTACTGAAGCGCAAGCCATCAGTTGCCTCTGCTGGACGAATGGGGCTAGACGGGGATCGGGTTGCACTTGTGTTGTACCATCGGGGTAGCTCATTTGAGCTCTCAACCCTAGCGCAGAGAGCACGAAAGCTGAACCCACAGAAAGGAAACTAATTTCCGTTTTTGACAAAAAAATAATCCGAATTTTTAGGCAGCTTGTATGCCACCCTTGAAGTGATAAGGGCTGTCAAAGTTCTTGAAGCATTCAGAACACTTCCCTTTCCACATCCTTACGCTTGATACCGAGCCGGAAGCGGGTGGGAGCAAGCGGGCAGCCTGTTACGCATGTCTTCGTCCCGAAATGTCTCTAGTCCAGGCTGCGGGCTCCGGAAGTATTAAATACACGCTTCGCATTTCACTTCAATTCCGGCTAAACGCCTGCATGGAAGACTTTCATCGTTACGGTATGGGCAATGAACTTCCTCTCAGACAGTGCAGTTTGCGTGCACGCCCGCGTTGAGCAAATATCTATGCTCAAAATGTACAATTCAGTCACGCCATGGGCACGCCCATTGAAAATAGTTCGCCCACTGACAAAATCTGGTAAAACTCATTCAGAGAGGAGGATGACAGACCGAGAGTGCCAGAAATGATGTCCATTTTATGGAGGACTCCGTCTCGTTCTCCAACTCCGGCTCCATTCTCTCCGTACAGTCCCACGGCATGCACTTCGTCCACGAACGTCAAAGCCCCGTATTTATGGGCCACATCGCATAACTCCTATACAAACAGAACCTCGTCATGACGATCGGCAGACTCAACTTCATTTCTCGCAGTCTCGCTTTGGATTACCTCGAGGGGACAGACGGCACCGGACATGGAATGGACGGTCTCGAAGGCGACGATCTTGGGACAGGCTGGATCAACGTTGTTCAGAAGTTCCTCCAGGTGAACAGGATCGTTGTGGCGGAAAACGTGCTTTGGAACACGACTGTTCCGTATTCCCTGTATCATCGATGCATGGTTTCCCGCGTCCGAAAACACGTGACACCCTACGTATAATTAGAAAAGAATATTACAGACTAAATTGTATAACCTAGGGGGAAAATAGCACGGTCATCGATTGATATCGCTTTCACCTGGTAAAGCTCTGGCCAGAGTGAAGAGAGTGGAATCATTGGCGACGAAACAAGACGAAAAGAGAAGTCCAGATGGTTTCTGATGAAGAGATGCCAACTCCTTTTCCAGCGTTTCGTGTAATACAGTGTTGCCAGAGATGTTTCTCGTCCCGCCAGCCCCGGCCCCGTGTGCCTCCAGCGCCTCACTGAATCCAACATAGCATTGCTTCACGTTCAAGTTCGAAACCAGGGGGGATGAAGTGGTCTTTTGTCCAATGAAGTGGTCTTTTTTTCATTAGTTATTGGCTTCATTTTTATTGTTTGTATGTTTCCTAGAGATTTGTGAAGGCTGAAACTCTTTGTCAGACCCCTGATCTTCATTCGCTCTCTTTGCTTTTTTTTTGTGGCACAACCCATATTTCTTCCTTATACTGCATGTGATGAGTGAAGATAAATTGAAAAGTAAAAATGGGAAAGAAAACAATCCCGACGGAAGAAAAGCTTGCTCAGCAGAAAAGAGACCAACGAGAGGACTCACATGACAGCCTGCCTGACTTTGGGATGCCTGGACATCCCCATGTAGTCGTTGGAGCACCAGACCGTGATGGGTCGCTCTCCCCAAGAGTATTCCTTGGCGAACGGGAATTCCGAAGCATTGCGAAGCACTTTCTTGAACACGCGATACGAATGATCCCTTTTCTTCTTCAGGATCTCCTCGTTGAAGAATTGCTCGTACGGAAAGAGGGATCCTGAGCAGCCCATAGACTAATCTAGCCAGGTGTGAATCGAAAATAATGAACAAGGAATTGATCAGGCATTGGAGCCAATTACCATACCTTCAGCATGAGTGACGTCGATGGGCTTCTCCGTCGTCAACTTGGCGCATGCCCCGCCCAAAACAGCTAAAGGATCTAAGAATACGAAATACCGTCTTGTATATAGGTCACTCGATGAAGGTCAATCTACTTATATCGACGGCATTGACCCCATTCCGGCAGTTGCAATGGACTCGTGCCCGAACCTGGAGGATTCCTCGAGTAAATGTCAGGCGCCGATTCCATTCGTCAATGTCGAGATGGAGTCGCCGATGCTTTATCAGCAGACCAGGTGGCCCCTGTGCGCATGAGAAAGGGTGTAAATGTTCACCTTCGAGGTGAGAGGTTCGTCCATCGCGAGAAGCAGCGGTGGAAGCGGTATGCCTGACCAGGAATGGGCAGTACTTCTGGTACGTGGACCAGAGCATCCCACCATGGTGTTGGAGGAAATTCGTCGACAACCGGGACAGGAAAGGGCACGACAGCTCTTGTCATGAAAAAAATACACGGGAAAAAAAAGCATGAAGAAGACAGTGATATCTGAGACGGCAAATGGTTTGTGTTACCAATGACTTTTAACGAGCTCGTGCGATGACGTCTGATAACCATCAGACAGAAAGGGTTTATAGCAGATCTCTAAAATAAAAAAAGCAATTCAGGCCACTCCCATGCTCACGCGCGTGATCAGGCACGAGATAATGAAGCATTGGCTCATGCACTGCTTATTTACGCCCTCAAGGCTGTCTTTCATCCGTGAAATGGACCGCGATTTCCTCACTGCATCCATTGCTTTCTCCCATCCGTTCCTTCTGGCCATTCAGTCTGATTCCATCATGAGGAAAGGATAAGTTCGGGAAGCCTAAATGTGCTCTCGTACTTAAACACGATATGAGATGTTGGAACAGAGGTCTTGCGTGCATTCGCATCTTATTCGTTCGGAACAAGAGAACCCTGCACTATCCAGTTTTAAAGACATCAAGGTATTTTGCGAGTCACAAGAACACTGGATTAAAAAAAAATAATAATTTCCCCTCCCCCCATTCTTTTCCACCTAAACAGCTCCATTGTGATAGATATCAAGTCGTATCATGAACGTCACGCAGGCAGTCTCGCTTGGGAAAAGGTACTATCCAGACAGGTGGGATAGTGGGATTCCCCGTCTCTAAATGCAGTTCATGAATGTAGGCTCGTTATCTATGGTATATCTCTGAAAGAAGTCCTCTCTACAGCAACTCGTCTGAGCAGCCAGAAAGTATCAAACAATTTACGAACTATCGGGTCTTGGACCGAAATGAGCCTTAAAATGCCTCAACCTTGAAGCCTTGTTGAACTGTTGCCAGGTTCCAATATACAGGGTGAACATAAAGTTGTTTGACGAGTGTACGGACCTTTGGCACGAAATCTATGCACCACAGCTCCGTGAAACCTTGGAACATCGGGACATCACCAGAAGAACGTAACACGAAAGACATTTGTTTCACAAGGGGCGCTGCTGACAGCGTCATTTGCATACTCAATAATACAACAACTGGATGGGTTCAACATAGAGGCGGCGTTAAAGTCTTCAGCAGTTCACTTTTATGAACTCATCCAATAGCTGCACTGCCTATGCATGCAAATGACGTCACGTCACCGGCTCCCCTCCCTCCCCTATCAGTAAGAAGTTTTGTGTACGTTTTCCTCATGGTGTCCTGATTCTATTCGCCGAGGACAGAAACGTTCATCCCTTCTAATATTTCGAGGTTTTGGAACTCTAAACCCGCAGATACAGTGAACGACTTTTGATGGTTCTCGGCCTACTCTACGAAGCACCAACGGCGTCGCGCCACGGTGAAAAAGGAAAACCACATTTGCAAGGCGCGACGGGAAGGACCATTACAACAGAGATTCCGCGTCACCAAAATGCAAAATTCGGGTATACAACACCGAGCCCACAATGACGACACACGAAACAATACGTGAATGAGACTCACTGGTCATGTCGAGTTTGGTGCTCTGAGCGAGTAGGAGTGCAGCTGATGCGAGACGAGTGGCGTCTGGAGAAACACTGCGAGCCTCGGGCTTGCTTCTCTACCCTACTTCATCCAGCATTTCCTTACGTCAATATCTTATCTCTCACCGCTGCCTTCTCTCTTACTCCTCACAGACACGAGGAGCCGCGAGGCCGCAGACCGGCCAGTTGGAGTTTCCTTCTCACGCACACGCACCTCCCCCAGCCCAGATCGACGATCGGATTTCGTGATGGAATATTTGTCCGTTCGAAATGTTGCCTAAACTGCCGTCTTCAACGTTCCAGAGGCAACGATTCCTCGGGAAAGTCGGCTAATGAAATTCTCTCGCCGTCCCACCACAGTCCAAAAAATGGGCACCAAAACGTATTAGCAATCTTCTTGCGAATAAACTGGGCATTATCAGCGTGAAACCCCCAGCATATCCCCCCTCCCCCCTCCCCCCTCCCCTCTCCCCTCCCCCCTCCCCCCCCATTAGGAAAGTCCCCCTGGAGCATGCCAGGGAAAAGTCCTTTCCCCCTGGGATACGTTGCATTTTCAGGCATTGGTAACCACCATCTTCATCACTTCATTATCATTCTATAAATCCTGATCATTTTCAAAGCACGTTTTCTCATAGAGTGAACTGAATCGATCTTGCACGACAAGACCAAAGAGATTGTGACCACACCGTGCTTCAAGCGAAATCCGGTCATCAAATGGCTCTATCCACCTGTTGGCTTTTCGTTAAAAACTCTTCAGCACTTGCTCAGTCGTAGACACCTCTAAAAGGCAAAAATCCCTCAGATGTTTTGGGTGAGGAGTCATCGACATCTCACGTGTCGAAATCGGTCAGTTCGTTTTTTCAATAAAACTGCTGGTCGATTTTTCCACGTTAAGTATTTGCCAGTGCTCTCAGTCTTTATTCAGTCTTTGATGTCCGAAAAGACGCACCCTTCTGTCGAGATGAGTCAATACGTACCTCAAATTAATTCAACACTTCCTTGACAAGAGGTGATTCTTCCGTTACATGCGGCGTTAATAAATATAATTTATAATATTGAATCAAGATTTGGAAGCCTCCAAGCAATGGGATTTTATTCGCTTCAAACAAGATTAATCAGGTGATCAGGCATTTAGGCTTAAGGTGAGGGTTTTGACGTGGTGGATTTCTCCAAGTCGATTGCAACAAGACGGAGGAACTAGCTCGAGATATCGGGAATTTAAGAAAGACTAAATACGAAAAGCAGATTTTTATTTATTTTTTTTTAATTACAAGGAGTTCCTTGTCATCGCTTCTCATTTGCATACATCATTAAGAGAATTGATGATGTGCGCTTGTTTTAATGTATGATGTAAGGAATAATAAAAGGAAGTAGTCAGTAGGCAGTATATTGACATAATGCCGCTAGTAGCATTTAAAGCTGTGGTGAGAAGAGCGGGGAAGAGCGGGGAAGAACGGGGAAGAGCGGGGAAGAGCGCTGGGCCTCGACTGAGGCGTCTTTAACCCTTTGAGGACTATGAACGTACAGGTACGTCCATACTCCCGAATGGCTTAAAAAAATTTAAAAAACTCGGTCCTTGAGGGGGCAGCGCCTTTTCGTTTCCCTCCGTTCGAGCGTCGCTTCGATGGGGGGAGAGGAAGGGAAGGGAAGAAATTCTACTCTGGAAATTTATGCATCTCTTACCGATAATTTATGCGGGGATACTTCGTGAAAAATGAGAGCGATGCTTTGAATCTTAGTCGTGTCCGTGCAAAATTGTCCTTTTCCCCCGTCTTTCTTTCTCGTGCGTTTTGCTGCTCGTCCGAGAAGTTCGTTGGCAGAAAATTCCGCTTCCTGTAACGTTAGTTTTGATCTTTGAAATCCGTGCGGTCAAGCCCTGTTACCTCGACGGGAATGAGCCTCTTTCGCATTCTTCATGTCCCATTTTTGGTGAGACATGAGCTGCTATCCAAGATTCTGTCGAGTTGACTCTCCCGGGGAAAAAAAAAACGTAAGCGTAAAAATAGATTTAAAAAAAAAAGAGAAGGGAATGAGGAAAGAAAGGGACAGCTGATAGTAGCCTAAATTGTCGGCAGACAATTGGCATTGTCGTGTGTCCTATCAATTTGGAGACGATAAGCCAGAGTAGGCAGATATAGAACGTGATAGCCTGCAATAAACAGGAATAGGACGTGATAACCAGGTTGGTGCTGGTTAGCTTCAGACCAGATCCCTTACTGTGCAAAGAGCCAAAATGGCGGCCACTGAGGAGAATTTGAAGATGCCACGAAGAAGCATTAAGTAGCATGTAATAGGGTGCGATGGCCAGCAATTGGCAACTGGCAGGTCTTTGTCTTGGACGAGGGGGAGAAAGGGGAAAGAAAAACTCAGTTGAAACTGTCACCGAGAGATGGCGTGTGCTTCGCCTTTTCACGTTTTTTTTTTTCTCTTCGCCATTTGATGAACGAATTCTTTGCACGTGACCATCTCCCGTCGTAGTTTCTGGACGGATCGAGGTCGGCTCGATCGCATCTTGCAGGGTCGTGGGCCGATGAGCTGGTGGCTCATCCATTCCATCGTGATCCAAAGGAAAAGCTCCAAAGTTTTCCTAGCAATGATCTTAAACCTGCGAGAAAAGCAGAAATCGTGGTGAGTGAAAACGATGAAGGACGAGAGGTGAACATCGCTAACATCAAGCAACGTTGTGAACATCCTAAGGTACTAAAGCCCCACGTCTCGATCCATCCACAGACACGAACGGGCGGAGAAATCCACGGGAACGACCGGGCCCCACACTCAGAACGACGAAGGGTTCGTGGCGCGGGATGAAAAGTGCGCACGGCTGCCAGATGTCATTTTCATATGGGAATACCTTTCTGACTTTTCAGTCCCTATTTCGTACTTACGATTTCGACTCAGAGTGGGAAGAGGACCGGAGTTTGGCCGGTAGTTTTTTTTTTTTCAAACCTATTTCT